TCGTGAGCTCCGCCAATAGGCTCGAAAATTAAAATCCGATAGAAGATCATAATGGTGCCGAAGAAACGCGCAAGCTAGTAAGAGTTAAAGAAAGAGAAGACGATGCATTATTAAAAGAAAGCAGCACCTTGCGTGCAAGAGCGTTAATATTATCTCAAATGTGTGCTCGTGCTCCTGCTTGAAAACATAGAGCTCTGCTTGTACCTGGCGCCGGAAGTGAATCCTTGCCGTGAATTTTGCGACAGCGGTACAGAACGACCAAGCATGAGGCAAAACTCGAGAACCGTAATCGCGAAATGACGACGTGCCGTAAATGATTTCGTGATATGAAAATGATATATTACATTTTTGCGAGTTACTTATTTCGAGGGGTGGATTCTAACGGGGAGTTATAATCGTTAGAGAATTATGAACGTTTCTCGTGTGAGAAACGAACGCGATCGTTGAGACGCTTCCGCTTCGATCGTCCGCGCTGTCACGCGCTCAATACGCTTTGTCGCACGTGACGTCCCGAAGATAATCAGAATCGAGGACGGCTACTCTCGTCTCTCGTCTGTAATATTTATAGTAATAATCGCTCGCGGTCGTATCGCGGGATTTTGTCGTCGTTTTCGCTGTTTTTTCTACCTCTTCTCTAGAAATCGAGACGTCGCGCTTTAGCGAGCTTCGCGAGCTGAATTAGCGTCGGCGAGCAGCGTGGAGGATCGCAAGCCTAATCATATCGGGTACCGGGAAGGAGGAGAAGTGTAGATGAGAGATTCAAAGCAAAGAGCATCTCCGGAAACCGAATGGCGGCATCGTCAACGTGTTACGGTCTGAAACATAATAAAAGTAATGAAAGAATATTATATAATAAATGAAATAAGATATATATCTCTTTCTTCTCACTACGATATAAAATATACAGTGAATGATAATTCTATCTCTCTTTGCTACCAAGTTGTACTTATTCTTAATTAATTTACTTGTACAAAAGAATGTGTTAAATAATAATGAAATATATAATATAATATACAAACACAATTATAAATACTACATATTATAATTATAAATATATAAATACATATAAATATACATATATAAAAAAAAGGAACACTACGATATATACAGGATGTCTCAGAACTATCGTCACTCCTTTCATCTATGGATTCCTTCACCGATTTTTTTCCTTGAATGTATAAATTTACAATTAAATCATTGATTTTTCACAATTTAATTTTCGAAACTGAATAAAGACTCAAAATAAAATTTTCAAGATTCGCTTATCTTATAGTATTCAAAAGGATCGATTTCATTTCTATTAAAGAATCGATTTCAAATCGATCAAAGAATTCCCGAATGAAAGAAGCTGTCACAATTCCGGGATACCCTGTATACACACGTGTATACATATATGCATTACAGTGTTGATTATCTGATATTACTGCATCATTATGATTACGACGCGATTATTATTCATTTGAATTATAAACTTATTATTGCCATTGTCACTGCTGTCGCCGTTGAAATCATCGCTACACCGTTATCACTTGTACTATCGCTATCGCGAAACACGAGGCGCATACGCGTTCGGCGCTATAGTGATTTTCAAAATGATACGACACGCGGGTCAAATTAATAAACACGCATACGCTATATATACATATACAATTGCGATCGTTGCTTGCGCTACGATACGACGAGGGTGACACGATAATGATGATTCAGAACGCGATTGAAGTCGCTCCCGTCTATCCCTTTGATTGTAGAAGCGATTCGTTCTACGAATGCGAGGAGAGTAATAAACGTGAGTGTGAACGCGAAGAATGAATTAAAGGACTTCCCTTTCGCATACACGAACTTTCACGGACCATCCACCTTTCGGATAACAGTCTTGACTTGTGCCTTGTTTAGACGTTTCCAATCATTTCCAATCGACTCGCGCTTCGATTCGCATATCCTACACTCAAATAAACTCACCCCCGATATTGTTCTTTTACGAGAGAGATATTTGATAAATCCAATGCGATCGCGCGCGTCTCCGCAGTCGTCCTTTCTTTCAAAGATATGATCTTCCTCGGTGACTTCTTGTAGACGAAGAAATTGATTCTCGCGCTTTCTTGATAGCGTGATGTAAATTCTTAGAATTGTCCCCATCAAATTAATTAATTTTACCCTGAAAGCCGCGACGTTATTTCGAATCGATGATCTATCTTACGTAGAACGACTTGGGCATGTAGACATCCTATTCATTTGTTTGAGAATATAGCACAGTGCCGACACTATATATACATTTTATATCCTTCCATAGACATAATACACGCAACAGTTATATCACCGTATATGCGTAAAACGCGAGTTTTGAATCACTCTTTATCAGATATGCATCAAAGTGAGAAAAATAATCATGTATACATACGATGTAATACATACGACATACATGCGTGCTATTACATGTACAGAGTGCTTCGCGACAAACCGTAAGCTTGAACTGGAAACTATGTAGGTAAGATTCACACAAAAATATTATTTAGCACCAAAATTCGCTTTTGTCTTTAATCTGCTTTTAAAACTGGTATCTTATTATTCATTCAATTTAAAAACTTGATTCTTATAGAGTTTTAATTTGTAACTCGGTCATTAGGATATCTTTAAAGGTGTGAATCCAGATAACAAAGTGTCTAAAATCGAGTCATAAGACGTTTTTTGCGTCTAAAAGACGACTTAAAGGCATCTTATGTTACAATTTTAGACTTTGTGTTGTTTGAGACGTAATAAAAAAGATGTCTAAATTATTATTAAGAAAAAATTAGCTTCTCAAGTTCCTCAAAGAGCCTGTTGATACACGCATAATATAATTTGTCATGTAATCGCGCAAGCCTCTGCATATAGAAACACGCATAATTAGATATTACACACGCAAAGCCTGTATTTTCTGCGTTAGCCTCATTTCATTCTACGTCATACACACACACACACCACACCACACACACATTTGTGATAAGTAAACCGTTTAAGCGGTGTCTCATTATCGTAACAGAATCGTTTAACTGCGAAAGCGTCTTTCAGGGGAGAAATTCGCGCTTCTGTGCAACTGAGCGTAATCTACTGTAATAGTCATTGTTTTTCCTTCTTTTTTTGTAAGCGACTGAATTATCGTGCTGTGTATGATTTTTCGTGGCTACGTTGCGTTCCCTGCGCAAACTCGATAACGTACTCCCATTACATATCCCTCGGTTCTTACGTGGAATCAGACTTCGTTTGAAAAGCAGAGACCTTATCGGACTCAAGTGTAAAATATAATAATTCAATATCATGGAAATTTGAAAGTAATACTTGCGATTCATAATTTTCTCGATTGTAAATGCAATACGAAACGATTTGTCCGGAAATCTGCGTTTCTTTTAGCATCCTAATTTGCGACTGTATCGTTATCGCCGCGTTGCAAAGTCTACTGAGCCTTACTGAGTTTCTTTAACGTATTTTCCGGTATTATCGTTATCATTTTCCTTCTCTCATCGGCGAAAATCCTGAGAAAAGGAAAGAAACAAGGAAGAAATAGAACTTTCGGGGACTCCCCTCGCGAGTCGCATCGAATGCAACTAATCGAGTTTCTCTGAGAAACAATTTTATGTACCTGTTACGACTGATTATTATCGTGTTGTACATCGCTAATAAGGACAGCGAGAAAGAGAATACGTGTATATGTATGTACATACACATGCCCGCGCGCGCGCGTATGTATATATATCTATATAGTATATTATCGTACTGTTACGATTGTTTTGTAACTATCGTTATATGTCATTGGCTGCTTGTTACCGACGGCTTGCGGTCGGCTAATTATACATCGCTGAACCGTATGTACATATCGAGTTTTAAGGAGGGCATGCGGGAAGCGTGCGTACGAAGCAAGTCAGTTGCACCATAAGTTAGCTCATTTCTATTAGAAATTAATTTGAATTGACAATCCTCACTAAAAATTCACTTCCTTTCCGTTGTAATGAAATAGACGTAAAAGCGAGATTCGATTGCACGGATTGTTTTCGTCAATGCTTACAGAAATTCAATTTAATGCTGGAAATGACTTTTCGAGTAATAAAAGCACTGTTATTTTTAATTCTCAAAATAAATAA